GCTCTCCAAACTTTCCCTGAGTGCCTCGTTGTAGATCGTAGGTGATTCTGTGTAGCCCTGACACAAGCGTGTGAAAGTGTAAGGCTTGCCATTGAAATTAAACGCAAACCAAAACTGACTGTCGATGTCCACAGGGACACTGAAAAAAGCATTTGAGAGGTCAACCACGGAAAACCATCGAGCATCAGGTGGAACCTGTGCCATAATGGTGTAAGGGTTGGGAACATTTGGGGCTCGTGCGTGGACGGCTGCATTAACGGCTTTTAGGTCCTGCACGAAGCGCCACTCAGTTGGTTTGCCTGCATCTCTGATCTTTTTAACTGGAAAAATAGGTGTTCTTACCGGCGAGTCAGGACATGGAACAATGACTCCGGCCTTTAAGAGGGAGTTGAACACCGGTGTTATACCGTCAATGGCCTCTTGGCGCAGTGGGTATTGATGTTTGTGGGGACGGAAGTCTGATCGAGGAGTGATGACCACAGGTTGACATTTTTTGATGAGTCCCACGTCATATTTATGCGCTGCCCACAAGGTGTCTGGAACAGAACTGAGGGCAGGAGAAATAGAGGAGACATTAGTCAAAAATGTGTCAGTGTGTGTGTCAGAAAATATGTTATTTTCATCCATGACATAAACAGATCTGAGAGCAGGTGTGCAAAATGCGAATGGCTGTTTAAAGAAGCCTGTCGACGGAGAGCGCATCACAAGTGGATCTGGTGTAGCCTCCCAATCTGCCAATGCCTCGCACGCTGCGACAAAAGGACCCAAATCTCTCCATTGGTCTGTTGCTGCTTTAGACAAGGAGATGTGTGGGAAAGAAGAGTCCACATCAAAGAGGTGCTGCTGAGAGGGGGTGAGAGAAACGGAAACAGCACATTTAAGTGTGGACCAAAACAATGTCATACATGCAATTTGATCATTCAGATCCTGTAGAAATAATGCATCATATTGCTTATCTGGCCCATGTGACACATGAGCTGTGCAGTGGAGATATGAAGCATCCATGCACTCTGCCTCAGGCTGGACGCGTGATGCTGCCAGGTGGGACAGTTCTGATTGTGAGTCAACCGGAAGCCACCACTGGTACACAAACATTGGATCACTCATAACTGTATTTGCCATCTGGTCAATGGCTCTGCATCTCACCACTTGCAACCCTGTAGGAGTGGAGATGAGGCTAATGCCGAAGGAACACATGAGGTCTCTGCCCATTAGATTAATGGGACAGCAAGAGGACAGCAAAAAGGAATGTTTTACTGTGATGTCTGGTTCAGGGTCAGTTGAGTCAGTGTGTGTACTGGTCATAGGTGCCGTAAATCTCTCTACAATAGTCATCCCTGAAGCTCCTTGTGAGAAAACCTGTTTTCCACTAAGTTTCTGACCTGGAAAATACTTTTGTTGTATTACAGAATGTGTAGCCCCAAGCTGGAAAACAACCATTAAAAGTTTCCCTTGAATTTGCACCATAGTGGTGGGCATATTTTCAAATGATTTTCCTGAAAACTTTGCGTATGTGTGTTTAAGTGAAAGCTTCTGTTGTGTTCTCAATTGCTCTGTGATGTCCACGAGAGCTTGTTGTTGCTCTGGTGTGTGTGTGTGAGTGTGAGTGTGCGTGTAGGGAGTTAGTGCAGAAAGCGTTTCTTCATTGCAGGCTGCGGTGTGTGTGTGTTTTACTTCCCTTATCATGTGAGGCCTCAGCATGGTTGCCGTCTCCCCCTCACATGCAGCCTCCTCCCCCTCCGCCTCACGTCAATCGGAATGTGCGTTGCCACCCCTTCCTCGTCTGGCCAGTCCACGCCCCCATCCTCTACGAGGTGCATTTTGTGGACATTCTCTGTGCCAATGTCCCTGTTCGCCACAGCGGAAACACGTATCATAGTCATTGGGTGGAGACAGCTGTGATCCCTCCTGGTTCCAGGAGGAGCGTCCCCTCGTCATATCCCGACCACGCCCCCTGAATCCGCCCCGTTGGTTGGGATCCCGTGGGCGGTCGTTTCTGGCAAGTTGAGTGACAGCTTGGAGCATAGTCAGTTGGGCGAGTTCAATCTGACGTGAGCGCCTTTTCCCCTCGTGGTCAGTTCTCTCTATGTCCATGGATTGCGCATGTGCAGCATGTTTCTTTACATCCGCGAGTCGCGAGTCTTCCATTCCAGCAACAGAACGCTGCACATTCATTTTTATGTCGGGCAATAGTCCATTCATGAAAGCATTCTTCAGGTGTGATTCCCACGTCCCCAGAGCGTCTCCTAACACGGCGGGTTGTGGAATGCCACTGTTAAGATTAAACACTGTGAGAAGTCTTTGGTAGTAATCATGGACGGACTCACCCGCTGCCTGCTTGGTATTGTTGATGGGAGTCATATCCACTTTGTCAGGGAACAATGTCTTTATGCCGTCGTTCAAAGCCGTGAGTGCGTCTCTGTACGGCTTATTTTGATTTGAACTCCATTCAACATCGGCCGCACTGGTGTCTCCTGCAACCAGCTGGTTGAGCTTCTGGTAGTGAGTCGGACCCACGTGACTCATTAGAACACGTCGAATTTCAGCAAAGTTGGGCAGGAATTGCTTACAGAAGTCCATGAATGCTTCAGCAAACAGTCTTCCCGAGTGCTGTATCGGCGGGAGATGAGCCATTGCAGCTCTAATGTCCGTATCAGTCCAAGGCCGGAAAACAAGTATGGGACCTGAGTGTCCTGGTACTTGAATCATTGGGGTTTGGAGCACAGATTTTGCATCCGGGGGAACTCCCTCTGGGTCGAAAGAGGGGGAAACAACATCTGATGTAGATGGTTGCTCTGCAATCAGTTTGTTGATGGCAGAAGTGTCCCCTCCGGTTGCTCCTGGAGAGCGAGAGCGAGTGAGGAGAGCAGCCTGTCTCTTTTCCTCCTCTTCGCCGAGGAGTCGTTCCTGTGCTGCTTTCACTGCCGCTTCCTTTTCCTCCCTCTGCCGGGTGTAGTGAACTTTTTGAGCTTGTGACCATGCAGACGAAGGTTGCTGGTTCGCAGATGAAGCAGGGTACGGTGGTGGGCATGTGTTGAGGAGAGGGCCGCCAGCCCCTGTGAGACTCGGATACAAGGGAGAAGAAGCACATCGGTCATTTTGTTCAATAACATTTGTATCTGGGTTTTCAACCAATGTGGTTTTTGCGCATGTCAATTCTTTAGCCATTTGTTTCCTTTCTCTACATTCACATTCATCCTCCCACCATTTTAACCATTTACTTTGTTTCTCAATGTTCTCCAAGTCTTTGCCTTTTATCACCCTCTGAGTTTTTATACCCTTCTCTTTTCCCTCTAAGCCTGTTTGTAACATGTTCAGTTTTATTCTACTGAAAGAACCATTTGCAGGGAACCCAAAATCTTTTGACCACTCGGGCAAAAACTCTAGAGATTGATCTCTATATTTCCTTCTCATCAGATCCACAATGGGTCCCTCCGGAGAACCCATTTCCTTTTTACCTTTACCGTGTACACCACCCATCTTTCAGGCGTGGTGAAGTATACTTTTTATTACTTAAAATATAGTCGTCACTATAAGTCTTGATTTTCTTTTACGTAGGAAAAATACAAGTTAAAACCCAACCAGAACTATTGGTTAATAAATATAGGTCAAGGGCGCAAATATCTGTTTTCAGATTACTGTCCGAAAACCCCGATATTGTTCCTGTCTTCCTGTTAGGTCAAGGGCTGAGATTTTGCGATTTCAGTGAACTCTCAAAATCCCTCCTATCTTCCCCTTCGGTCAAGGGTCACAATTGTCAATTGCCCCTGTCTTCCTCTTTGGTCAAGGGTCACAATTATGCGTTTTCAGAGTGTTAGTCTGAATACAATCGTAATACGCAAATTGCTCCCTGTCTTCCCCCTTTTGGTCAAGGGTCACAATTGTGCGATTTTCAGAGAGTTAGTCTGAATACAATCGTAAATGCGCACATTGCTCCCTGTCTTCCTCAGTAAAAAGTTGGATGCTGATGAACCGGAAATACTGTACAATCACTCTTATAATTTTATACACATTTTTCAAATAACCGGATAAAAGGACAAGTTATCATCATTAGAAGCCCAATCAAATAACCGAAATTTGGATTTTCTAAGAAGAGAGAGAAAATTTTTTTTTTTTTTTTTTTTTAAATCCCAAAGTACTAAATACCCGTCTTTGTAATCTGTTATCACCCGTTATAATTCAGGAAGCCCCGTTTGAAAATCAGAATATCAACTTCTTACCCGATTCGTGTGAAAATCTTCCTCATCGGATCGTGTTGAAGCCAATCAGGTCTCTTTTGGTCGCCGGTCCCCTCTCTCTGAGTGTGATGAGGTATAGGGCAGAATCACGTTTGGTGGATCCTGAAGTGGCCCCTTCCCGGACGTCCTCGGAGTCCCGACGGAGCTTCAAACGATCCCACTTCTGACACCAAATTGTGGTGGAAGATTTTGCACAGACAATCGTTAAGTAAGAATCAAAGGCTCTGAGTCAAGTATGTCTTTCCTCCGTTTATTTCCTTGCAAGGGAAAAAGGGTCACAACAGCTACGTGGTCAGTAGACTGTCAAGAACCTCCTTTTTTCCTCCCAACACATCGAGGCAGTTCTTATACCTAAACTTAGATATCGGTGGCGTCAACAGAAACCGTTAACCATCTTGTTGAGTATCTACAGTCAGGATACTGGGAACATCTTATCCATGTAAGACACGTCAGCTCTTTGACCGTATCCTTGCTCTCCCAACATTCAAAAACAAAGGTGGTCATAGACATAACAAACACTTTGTTCAATCTCTACAGCTATGACGCTGGAAACATCTAATCCAAGTGGGAGACATCAGTTCTTATGTCAGGGCCTTTGTGACCTAAGCACTTGCAACTAATAAACTGGTTATACAAATGAAGCATTTAAAAGGGTCACATATCATTTTCCCATTACATTCATCAACTTTCAAGTTGTAACCTCCAACTGATTAGAAATTATTATTGGATTAGTCTTGCTGATGTGTTCATAGTGATGTCGTTATGGTGACCTCACGACTCGGAGGTCGATGGGTAGTCGGGCCGCCGGCTGGTCACGTTGTGGTACTGCATTCATCTGCAGAACCTCCGGCGTTATCTACCAGAGTAGAAGCCTCTTCTCCTTTTGAAACGTCCACGCAATCAGTGCTAGGCTAAGCTAACGTAGGCCCCAAATGCCTCATTCGCATTGGCTGTGGCGCTGCAGGTTCCCATGATCCTCGTGGGGAATAAGTGCGACCTGGAGGTGGAGCGGGTGGTGGCCAAGGAGTCGGGCATCGGCCTCTCCCGCCAGTGGAACTCCTGCGCCTTCCTGGAGACCTCGGCCAAGAGCAAGATCAACGTGAACGAGGTGACCACACACACACACACACACACACACACACACACACACACCGCTCAGAGGGTCTCACACATGTTTATTAACGGGTTATACATTAACGTGTGTGTGCGCAGATCTTCTATGACCTTGTGCGACAGATCAACAGGAAGAGTCCAGTTCAAGGGAAAACTCGCAAAAAGTCCAACTGCCAACTTCTCTAATAACAGGTACGTGTTTTTTAATCTTAATTGAAATAAACTCTTGGTCTTGAATAATTAGGTAATTGTAATAATAGCCATTACAAAGTACAGACAGGTGTGTACAATAACTATATCCCAGAGGTACATAGTACTTTCAGTATATTATAAGTATGAATATTTAATTGATCTTCTCTCTCAAGTTTCCCGCCAACCTGACCGCCAACCAACCAATCACAGGGCATCTTCCAGCTGGCCACCCCCCCACCCACCCCTTAACTCAACCCACGTCACCATCAACGTCAGCCACCTCTGACCCCTGTTGCCGTGACGACTACACCTCCCATCCCTGTTCACCTCGCAGTCCAAAAAGACTGCTGCCTTGGAAACACGAAACCAAACTCCAAAAGACTGCAGCCGGCCATGATGATGATGATGATGATGAAGATAATGGAATGGAGGGGGTTGTCCAAACAACTGCCCGTTTCCCATCATGCTCTCTGCTAGGCCACTTTGCTGCTGGAGAGCGGCCTCTTGCCTTTACTTTGACCTGTTCATTTTACTAGTTATTTTCCAACTGGCTCCGGTTGAACCTGTGGATCCATTCAGTGATTATTATTTGTATTATTATTATTATTATTATGATTCTGTGTGGGGAAAAAAATATAAAAGTCATTTAATGTTAATGTTTTTAATTTTGCGGGGTCCGGGGGGGTTAGCGGGTGCAGCAGGTCACATGGTCAGTTCGCCGCGCGGCGCTAACTTCAGTTAGCTGACAGCTTGGCAATATCTAGAGAAAATGCTAACTCTCCAAATGTGCTTATGGCCACGCCACAGCTGTAACTACGAGTACAACGCTTACGTAGCTTGGGGCGCCCTGGTTAGCATAGCAGCTAGCATTAATCTAAGAATATCAGCGTTTTGTGGGGTGTGAGTATTTTAAATGCATTCCTCAGCAGGACAGAATGCTAGCTATGCTAACTATGTAGAGGTATGTTCAGAAAGAAAGCCAAGTTTGTCAATATGGAAAAGCTAACAAAAGCTAAACATGCCGCTTGTAAACAGCGATGCGTTTCCAAATATTACTTTAGCATGGCAACAGCCAATGCCACTCGTTAGCGTAGCAGCACCGTGAGCTGCCTCCAGATCTGCTTAGGCCGGACATGTTGCCTTTAGACAGCCGACTCCTGTCCGTCCTGTGTGTGTCTTCTGTCGGGCAGCAACAGGTTTCGTTTCTGTGATTATAAATCATACTCACTATGACCTGAATATTAATGTTGTTACCTCATCTGAGAGGGAAGCGCTGACCTCTCCTGTGTCCTCCTTCTAGTGTAATACTCAATGCTACCACCTTAGCATACACTGGTCGGAGCGGTAGCAGCTCACAGCTAACACGCAAAAGTGTTGCGTCAAAGTAAAATCTCAGTGTTGGTAGCGCGGCCATTGAAAGGGCCCGAGAGAGACCGTAGGATGTTGGCTTAAAGCTGAAGCCCCGCCCCCCATATATTTGGGGGTGTGGCCTGTGAAGCATCAGCCACAAAAAAAGAAGCCTTTTGCTTACCCGTCTTTGTGTGAAACGTGAGACCCCGTGAGTACTGCTCCGCACAGTTTTGTACTACCGGGAGTACTGCGTACGGTGCGGCACTGCCGTCAGTATTGCGGTTCTCCCGCAGTACGTTCAGTCATGTAGCATGTTGATGTTTCTGTCAGTACTCAGTCTGACCTCCGGGAGGCGCTGCGACTGGTTGCATGCCCAGCAGGTCGAAGGGTCTGCTCGCAGCTGTGACGAATCGTCGCAAATAGAAAAACTGGTTTCATGCTAACACGCTAGCATGCTAACAAATAGGCAGGCCGGTATTGTGGTGACACTTTTAGGTGAGCTCAATGACTCCGAGATGTCCCGCCTTTTCTCAGCCAATCAAATCAGCGCCTGCGACCTCTTCGGCTTCCTGCGTCCGTACCTGCGGCGCATTCGTCAGTCCGTTGTGACTTCTGTGGCAGTGATGATTGACAGCTCAGGCTAAACTTGTGTGTCTGTATGTCTGCAGATCAGAAGGCCTCAGTTGTCAGACATTTTTTCAGAATGGTACACTTTGTGAGAGTCTGACCTCGAAGACGTTCACGGTGTTGAGATTGTGTGAGAGAGGTTTAAACTTTCTCGCTTCACCTTTTTCCTCAAACGAATTGTCCGAAGGATCTCGATTGTTCTCTCGAGGTTGTCACTCTGGTTTCTGCATACAGACGTCTCAACGTCTGACAAACGGTATGGCGTATTTTTTCACTTTTTTACAGCGGGGCTAGCAGGTTCCCTCTGGTTCCATTCTTTGTGCTAAGCTAGGCTAAATGCACCCTGGACCTATTAAGAGATTTAAGCTGTTCCCATTTTATTGTCTGTAAAACGATCAGAAGTCTCACTGGAGGGCCGAATGCGACCGCAGCAGAGATGCAAACTGAGTCATTTAAAGAAGAAATGATTTTATATTATTGAAATAAATCCGCTTCGGTTTCTCTGTATGGCATGATGACCAGTGAAATGTAAAAGAAACCAGTTCAGCCAGTGCAAACACCTGATTGAATGAATTTGTTTCCAGCCTGCTGAATTGTCTCAGAGTTCTAACTGGTCGGCAAAATTGGTCTGAACTGGTTTCTTCCAGTACAGAAAGCCACGGCTGGTGGTGGTGGGGGGGAGCCAAATGTAAACTAAAAACTAAAACGCCTTAAATGAATAAAAGTGGTGCGATTTTGTAACAGCAACAACGATGTGGACTCATTCTGGATTAGATTTGTATTTATTTATTTATGCAAAATCAATTCGACCCAGTTTAGATGAAAAAAAAATGTTTATATATAAATATATCTTTTCAACTATCCTCAACAAAAAAACATTTAATGTTGGTTTGTTAATGTTGTTGAAGGGTCATTATTATTATTATTATTACTGTATTTGTTATGCTTTAGAATGATACTTATCTGGTGTCATTTTATTATATTTTTTGAGGGATCATTAGGTGTGTATATATTTGTATATAATATACACACTGTAAGTATATATATATATATAAAATATATATTTATATATTTTATTGTCTCGGGGGTACAATTACTATTTTGAGATCTTAATTTCGTTTGTCCCTGTTGAGTCATAAACGGAATGAAGACAGTGACGTCACGCAAGGCGCTGCCATGGCAACGGCGGCCGCCTGTTCCTGTAGCCCGCAGCCGGCTCGCATGCCGGTCCTCCTGGTTAACTAGTGGAGCGCCATGAACCAGCTAGTTAACGAAGTCCAAGCGATGAGGCAGGAGCGGCTCCCCGCGGTGTTTCGTCGGTGGCGAGAGCGCCATGACCGCCCGCTTCAAGGTAAGCAACAGGTGTTAGCATAGTTAGCCCAACAAACGGATGCTAGCGCGTCTGGCTAACGCTACGTAGCTAACGTCATCTCACTGCGATATTCGCGTCTGGTCGGGACTCAAAGTGGCCGCTTTGTCCCCGTGCACGGGTCCCGGTCCCGCTGTACCGGGTAGGACCGTGTGGGACACCGCAGAGATTAATATGATGTAATTAACCTGTTAGCTAATCCAGCTAACAGGTGTTGTCCATTCTGTATTCCACTGCTGTGACGTTAGACAGGGTGTACTAGGGTTACCTCTGGGATATGCAGTACAAGTACCATGTGTACCTCCGTAGAAGTACTATATGTACCTCTGGGATATAATACACTGAAAGGACATTAAGTACCTCTGGGATAGTGACTAGTTTGATTCATGATTGTCCCCCAACGCAACCATCAGTTCGGCGTGTGCGTTTGTTTCAGTGTCGGAGTGAATACCAGAAGAGCTTCAGGGTCCCCCGGTCCACAAGTGTGTGTCCTCAGCGCGGCGCCCCACCGGCCGGTCTGCGCTGCGACCAAATGGGTAGGAACCCTCCCACGGGCTCTGATTGGACAAACCCTAGTCTTCTGTCTTTGTTCATTCCCTCTGTCTGTCTGTCTGTCAGGTATCTGCAGAGAACCAGGTCTCCAGAGGCGTAAGAGGCTCGGTCCTCCTGGTCCTGCTGAATCCTGCTCAGTCCTGCTGTGTCCTCCGGATCCACGGAACTCCAGTGCACCGCCTGCTGGTGGGGAACCTCCATTACACACTTCTCCCATACATCCATCAAGCTACTGCTTAGTGTGCTGAGCAGTATCCCGTGTTAGCATCCCACGTGAGCTAACAGGTGTCCTCCTCCTTCATCACCAGCCACTCAGAGTCCCTCAGCTCACGGGAAGAAGACGGCCCTGGAGCCTAATCCTCCAACACCTCCCGGACCACGAGCCGACCCCGGTTTGGGGACGCAGGGCGCAGGACCAGCTGCAGACCCTGGATCAGTCGAGCCAGGAGCTGCTGGAAAATCTGGTGAATACGCATGTCGTAACTTTGTCTTACTTACAGTCTTCAAACCATTGATTCTGAGTATTTATGCTTTTTCCGTCCCCTCAGCCAAGCCCCGCCCCTCCAAGCTCGACAGCCGGCCACAGCCGAGCCAACCTCTGACCTCGGCGCCTGACGGACGGGCCAATGAGGTGAGCCAAAATGTAGCCGTGTACAGATTCGACTCCTTCAACACCGACGTGTCTCTGTTAGATTCACCTTCATTTGTGTCGCAGGTTCAGCGCGCTCTGCGCTGGAGGGTGGGGCTTAAAGGTCAAAGGTCAGGAATTCAAAGGACAGAGTACCACAGACAGTTCAGCTGGAAGAAACCTGCAACTGCTGCTTCTCCCATACTGGCTGCAGAACAGGTACACAAATATCTACTAGTACTCCTGGTCGCAGAACATATAGTGCTAAATACTAAAGGGAGCGTTACTGTAGTATGTGCCTTTATATATGTATATACCTGTAGTGGTAGTACTGCTGTGGGTCCACTAGATGGAGGTCGACTCTTGTTTTGTGGTTACTTCTGATTAAGGATGTAAGTAGTTCATTTCTCAACTCAAAGGTGTTTTATTATTGTTATTTTCTTCTAGTTAGACGAAAGAAAACTGCAAAAACCGTAAACATAAAATCTAAATTGACAGTAAGATGCATGTTGAATCTGTGTAAATATAAAAATGTGCATTTGTGCACACTACAAATAACGGATTTAGTGTTTAGGAGACCTTAACTGACCTTTGACCCTCCCCACAGCTGCTCTACTCTGGCAGCAGGTGTGTGCCGCCCTTTAAGAAACACCCCATTCCCTTGGAAACGGAGTATAGGCGCAGTTTCCGAGGTCAGGTCCCGTCCCCTGGGCCCCGGCTCCGGGAACACCTGGAGCATCATCAGAGAGCCCCGCTTTTCCACGTGCACACGGTACTCTCTCTCACACACACACACACACACACACACACATACACTGTATAATAAAGTGAGAAAAGTCTGTTCTGCTGTTTGTAGTTGGTTTATGATGCATTGATGTAACTTTTGAACCATAGTGCGTCTGTTCTCCCTGATGTCATTTAGCTTTTCACAATAAAAGTCCTGACTGAAGTCTCTTCATCTTCAGACCAACAAAAAGAAGAGGGAGGAGTCAGTGAAGAAGACCCGCCCCCGACAGGATAATGTAACCCCCACTCAGGTTCAGAGAGGACCCAGGTGTGTGTGTGTGTGTGTGTGTGTGTGTGTGTGTGAGACGTTTATCAATGTCTCTCTGACAGGATGTTGAGAGGAGCTTTTGTTTTCCCCTCCACAGGATCCCGGAGGGAGGCGGAGCCACGGAAGGCGACGCCCAGGTCAGAGTTCACACTCATCAAGGGGCGAGCGATTATCATTATAAAGTCAGATAATACATTGACCCTTATACCTGGCCTAGCTTAGCATAAAGTATGTAAGTAGGGGAAACTGCTAAGTTAGCGCTAATTAAAAAAAACATGTGAGCTGCAGGAAATACTCAGATCCTTAACTTGTAAAAGTATAAATCCCACAGCACTCGCTTTTTATCCTTCTTTTAATCATTAATACAGAAGGTCACTATTTTTTCTCTGCGGGCCACAAAGAAAGAAAGAAACAAGTCAAAAACAAAACGTGCGATTCATCCGCCACAACACCGTGAAATGTTGTCTAACATGAAACCGGTGCACGAGGCAAAGAGGTTGGGCACCGCCGCATTAATGTATTGATCTTAGATTGGCGCAAGGATTCGTAGCAGCGTCCGTTGTTACGGCGTAACACCGGTATGAACAGGACGTGAGAAATTCCTATCGTAGGGAAACCTTATACCGGTATACCGCCCAGCCTAATTAATCAATGCTCATCCTTAGGATAGCTTAGCATAAAGGCGGGGATTGGGAAGAAAATGCTAGCATAGCGCCAGTGCAAGAAAAAGTATATATACATCAATTTAAAACTGCTCCTTTTTCTAAATGAACTAAAAGTATAAAAATATTAGTTCTAGATTACACGTGAAGTACTGCAAAGTAAAAGTATTGTGCCGAATATTGATCGCTGTAATGTTGGAGATCATCACCTCCTCTGAGCTGTGCAGAATGGAGGTCATCGGTGTTTCCTGATTTTTTGACTTTGATGCGGTCGTCGGAGTTTTGATCAAACGCTGCCTGCTAACAGTTAGCCGCGCTCGCTGCTGATGGAAAACCAGCGTGTCAGCTGTGAAACCACACAGCTTCATTTCAGGGAAACAGCCCACTGCTAGTCACACACACACACACACACACACACACACACACACACACACACGTAGGTTCCCACCAGGGTGTGGGTTTCGGGGGGGGAAGCTGCTCCTTCGAGATGGAACAGCTTTCTGCCTGAAATCAGCAGATATTTAGGAAACATCAGCGTTTCGCTTTCTGCAGCTCGTCAGCTTTGTTTGTGACGTAATTAACAGTCAATTAAAGTCATCCACTGTCGGGCAGCACGGAGACGTTTCCTGCAGCCCCCCGTAGCCGATAATCAACCCTTTGACTGGTGCCGCAAAGCCACGGCGATCACACAACTATGGACCAACGGATGACGATTCACTCACATTTGAGGCTCTACACACGGCTCATGTCTGCGTCACATGGCAGATAAACTGTGACCTTCCTGTTTTCTCTGTCTGCTGGTTTGTGAAGCAGCTGGTTGCTGGGAAACCATCTCGGTTGTGTCCTGTTTAAAACCAAAGAGCAGGGGGAATGAGGGAATAAATCGAGAGAGAAGTAGAGTCATGTTCTCATAGACGTCTATGGGAGCAGAGGAGTCGCCCCCTGCTGGTCACTACAGAGAATGCAGCTTTAACTCCCGTTGTCGTCTAAACGTAGAGGAAGGCGTGTCTGTCTGAAAATGGCAGCCTGTGGGTGTGGCCTAATTCCGCTGGCTTCTTACCGTCCAGGTGAGGGAGCTGAGGCTGAAGGCCTCGTCCTACCGCCGTCGGGCCTGGGGGGCCAATTTCGACAGAGACCACCTGAGCCAGCTGCTGTCCGAACACAACGCGCTGTGGGAGCCGACGGACACCACCGACGGCCCCACGCCTCGCCCGACCTTTGACCTCCATGCTGACCCGGACAGCTGCGGCACCTCCCCCGCGGAGGCCCTGAGCCCGGCCAGGTGAGAGAGATCAGAGTAGCTGCAGGTGCCCCCCTCGCCCCCCCCGTCCCCTGCTGGACACCAGGGGAGTCACTGAGGGGTCGTTGTGCTTACAGAAGCTCCAGAAGGTCTTCAGTTACGAGCTCCACAGACCGAAACACACCAACACCTCCAGGTCAGGCTGCCAGAGGAGGAGGAGGAGAATAGTAAGTGAGACCTGTGACCCCCCCCTGTGATGACGTTGGAGCATTGGAGGTCTGTGTGCAGTTCAGACCCCTTTAAATGTTTCACTTTGTTTCATTGCAGCCATTTGCTAAAATCAAAAAGGTTCATTTTATTTCTCATTAATTTATTCCCCCATCTTGACAGAAAGAAACATGTAGACTTTTTGCAAATTTATTAAATTACCTGAAATATCACATGGTCATAAGTATTCCAACCCTTTGCTGTGAGACTCCTGTTGAACTCACATGGTGTCCATTTCTTCTGATCCTCCTTGAGATGGTTCTACTCCTTCATTGGAGTCCTGCTGTGTTTAATTAAACTGATTGGACTTGATTAGGAAGGGGACACGCCATTATACAAGACCTCACAGCTCACAGTGTGTCAGAGCAGATGAGAATCAGGAGGTGGAAGGAACTGCAGATTTGTGGCAAGGCTCAGATCTGGCCACGGTTACAGAAGAGTTTGTACAGCACTCAAGGTTCCTAAGAATATGCATTTTTCGTCTTAAGACTAAATCAAAAATAGCTGCCGAAATGAACACTGTTATGACCATGTCATATTTCAGATTTTTTTTTAGTTAATATGCAAAAATGTTTACATTTGTTTTTTCTGTCAAGACGGGGGGCAGAGAGAAATAAACTGAACTGTTTTGATTTGAGCAAATGGCTGCAATGAAACAGAGTGAAACCTTTAAAGGGGTCTGAACACTTTCAGTACCCACTGTAATTCCTCATTTAACTGCAAGATCCTCTTGGGTTTTTTTAGTGAGCGTAGTGAGGAGGGAAGGTTACCGACTCCGAGGCTGAAGATGAGACCGGTTCAGAGAACCCACCATGACCTCACCACGCCTGCCACCGGTACCTCAGAGTCCCTCACCGTCCCTCACCGTTCACATGCATCACTGCATCAGGATCAATGAGAGGCTCATTTGATTGTTTGTATGTATTTGTTTCTTTTGATTTAAAGCTTGATAAAGATTTTCTAATCTACACACACCTGACCTCTGACCTTTAGGAGGAGCTATACTGGTGGGAAAACTGAGCAGTGATGAAGCTTCTCCAAACAAACCGGTAATATTATCAAAGTTCTATCATTACTATACTGTATCATAATACTTTATATAACATTATGCTGTATTGAAACATGTAATATTACGTTACATTTCAGAGGCGTGAGTCTTCAGCCGACCAGCCAGTCAAACTGAAGGAGGCGTGGTCTGACAATAGTCCCGCCTTCGCCCACACTGGCCCCTCCCTAGACCACAAGCCAGCCACAAGTCCCGCCTCTAAACCAATCAGGACAAAGCAAACGTCCCCCATGGCCCCGCGCCCTCTGGCCCCGCCCCCACCGCACTGTATCCGAGGCACGCTGAGAAACGCCGACTTCCAGCACAACGGTGAGACTCTCGATCAATTCCACTATCGATGAATCAATCAGATTTACTATCCATGTTCACTAAATAAATCAAGCTGTTTATTCTGTTTCAACTTCTTCTCAAACATTTACAATCCATCAATTTTTTGTGCAAAAAAAGTCAAAATGTTTCTCTTCTGTTTGTTTAAAGTCACAAAATAACCTGTTTTTGATCAATATCTCGCACACAGACGCACACACAGGGACTCGTTCTTCACTTACTACTTCATGCATCACATTTATAGATTGTAAAATTGTTTACCAGGGAAATAAAGGTTGTCTTTGTCACCTGCACCTGTGACAACGTCCGTGTCTCCCCAGGTGAGCTTGGTCTGAGGTTCAGGGAGCTTCGGTGTCCAGGAAGAGGCAGCTGCTCTCATGAAGGCGAGCATTTGAAAAGAAATGTTGACTTTTATTATTGATTATTATTATTATTATTATTATTAGAGACAAACCTTTCTCCCGTTGCCTAGACGACCGGCTGTCGGTGATGTCGTGGCGCTCTGCGGCCTCCTGCTCCGCGGCCTCCGTCGTGCTGGAGCGCGCGCAGAAGAGACGGGAACACTTCTGGGGGAAGAGATGACCTTTGACCTCCGGGATCTTTTCGAACAATCTGTTGAACAATAGTTGGAATAATATATTTTAATATCATGTATTTTTTACACAGTAATAGATGCTTTTATAAATTGAGTCATTCTGTTTGTGTAGTAAGTTTGGGGAGACATTAAAAAGCATCAAACGGTTGACCTCTGACCTCTGAACTTGTTTGTTTCCTCCTAAAGGAAGGAAGTTTGAAGTAGTTTAGTTTTGAACTAATAATTTATATAATATAAATGTAAAACAACATGACTTCATGTTTCGTTCTCTCTCTCACATAGAAACATAAATCCCTCTTAAAACGTTTTCTCAGTTTGGATCGATTGGTGCGAATTCTGTCAAACTAAATTAACTACGAGAACCAAACTAAGTGATTTAATGTCTGTGAAATTTAATATTAAAAATATTCACACATTTGCCAAAAATAATTTATATAATAAATGTAAAACAATATTCTGTATGAAGATGTCAGATTTCAAGACTTCAACAGTAATATGAAATACTACATCACATTTAATTTAATCTAATCAAATGGATTCTCATAAAAGACACATAATAGTAGAAAAGAGATGATTGCAACACGCCTGTAAACAAGCTCCTGGTGATCAATAAAGTTTGATCTATTTTTTATGTTTGAATTGGTCTGAATCTGCAATGTAAGATGAATGTACTAAAGTAAAAATTCCTTTCTGAAGTTTAGAGCAGGAAGTGGAAAAGTACAAGTACCTCATAATTATTCTTCAGTACTGTACATTTTACTAATATTTTTAACATCACTAAATATGTAGAAGAGAACAAACATCCTCATCACTTCCTCTGGACTCAACCGATCACCTGGAAAACACACACGCACACACACACACACACACACACACACACACACACACACACACACACACACACACTATTTACACACACACACACACACACACACTATTTACACACACACACACACTCATGGGAATGACGGCGGGCTGTGAATTCCCCTCCAGCGGATCTACAGACAACAAACAGCGCAGGGAGCCGCTCGCTCCGGTGATGATGTCATCCTGTGACGTCATCACCGTGGAACAACAAAGATCCGCCGTCGTGTTTAACGAGTCCAACGAGTCTGGAAGATTCAACTGCGGGTTCGATATCTGATTACGTTTTAAAACACATTAATTCAGAAAAATCTCTCTCCATTGTCACCGTCTTAGGAAATGACTCCAGCATGAACCTGTAATAAATAAACATTTTCACTTAGGTTTTTATAATACCTATAAATCATCTCAACGGATGCTGGATACCAGACCACATCCCTCACAAGAACAAATGAGATACATTTTTGTTCTTTATATTTGTATGAACTAAACATTATTTGGCTGATGTGCTGGTGGTTTCCCTTCTGTTCACTGTTCCATCTCACCTCCTCCCTGCGTGTTGCAATGTCTCATTACTCTTTTTGTGACGCACCAGAAATGTAATAAATTACTTCACGGAAAACCAATGTTTGTGCAATAGAAGCAACAACTTTGATGAGAAGTCTGAGCGGAAACAATTCAATGTGATTGATTTAGAAATACGGTAAAAATCAGTTTCTTTTGTGTAACCTGATAACAATTCACAATACACATCTATCCGTCTCTGAGGTTTTCACACCAACGCGATATATCCTAAAAATAGAAAGAGAAACTCAATCCTGCAGAGACGCCAGACAGGAAAACGTGTTTTTAAAAAGGGAAAAATCCTCCGTGACATTAAATGTTCACTCAGAGTTCGTCTCCGTCGAGGTGCCGTGATGATGGAGTCACATACAGGTCAATTAGCTGACGCCTTTATCCAAAGCGACTTACATTGCATATTTTAAAAACATTTTTCCAGGGAGCATTTAGGGGTCAGGTGTCTTGCTCAGGGACACTTCGACATGGGACACAGGCAGGGCATCTCTCTGTGACAAGTAAATCCCTCTTAAAAAGTTTTCTGTTTGGATCGATTTCGGAGCAGAAGGTCTCTTTCTGTGAAGTGGACTTTCTGCCGCGGCGTCCCACAGGGCTCGATCCTGGGGCCCCTTATCTGTCTTTATTTTAAAAGGGGAAATCATCTACATGCTGATTTGATTCAATTCGCAGAGAAGCTTTAAGGTCTGTTTACCATTATTCAACCTTTGTTTTCTCAATACTTAACTTCTCTCTTTGGTGGGCTTGCGTGAAAGCAATGAGGTTTTCATTTTGATTTGATTTATTCGTGGAGCAGAGGCACTGAAGCTCTATCAGTGTTTTTAAAATCACGCTTTCAATTTGTTTAATCATGCAGATTATTATTTAGATCAAAAAGTAGGGTCCTGCACCCTGCAGCTGAAAACACAAACTCTAAGTTCGTTTTCAGTATTGCATCATGAAAATTCTCACATTTTAACATGTCGTCATTTGATTAACAATAATACTATTGATGATAATTTCAAAACCAATAACGCACGTACTCAAGCTGTTTGGACGAGTTGGACGAGTTTTCCTTCCAAAGGGGAAATTTCTGAAACATTGTACAGCTTTTGATCCAGTAGGGAGGGTGTGTGTGTGTGTGTGTGTGTGTGCGTGTGTGTGTGTGTGAGGAAGTGATGTCACCGGAGAAGTACATGTAGATTTTCTCTTTTAGAAAATCCTTGACAAACATTATTTAGTGTTCGTCGTCACTGACTGTTAATTTCCTCCCTTTGTGAGTGACAGTAAACAAAGATTGTAACAGCTCAGCACTGACCGTGTGTGTGTGTGTGAGAGTGAGTGGTTGTGTGTGGGTGGGTGTGTGAGTGAGTGTGTGTCTGTGTGTGTCTGTGTGTGTGTGTGTGTGGGGTTTTTTGATGGTTACCTGTCCTATATTTTTGCAGCGGTGGGCGGAGGACTGCTTTTGTATAAAAAGACGCGACGCACAGAAGTCTTCACACCAGCATCCACAGACAGGTGAGCAAACGCACACACACACACACACACACACACACACACACACACACACACAGATGCAGTCGTTTAATACTTTAACGTTTTATTTATGAACCTTATTAATAATCTAAAATCTTTTTTCAGTCTTGCCGTTAAAGAAGAAAATACTCGGACTGATTCGTCCACCTGAACCATGAAGCCCGCCGCCGCCACGCTCGGCTCTTTCCTCCGTCCGGCCGCCGCCGTCCTCGTGCCGCTGCTCCTGATTGGCTGGGCCGCGGCGCTCCCACTGGACAAGACGCTCAGCCAGCCGCTGAGAAGCCGGGACACGTACCAGGCCGTCCGGGACGTGTCGCGACACGTGAGTGGTCAAATTCAAAGACAATATTTTAAACTTTAAATTGTCTAAATTGTTAAATCTGCTTTGATTAATACATTAGATTTTTAGTTTTGGCATTTTTAATCATCTCATTTTCAATCATCTTCTTGAGTAAAACCTGTGATGTATGTGAATAAATATTATTATTCATCCGTTAACTTCCATTACTTCATCCATTAACTTGTAAGTATTTTATTGCAACATGAGTTTGTTCCTTTGCTCAAACGCTTCATATTTGATTCAATATATTTTATGTAGAAAAGGAACCTGCAAAGTGAAAATTCAAACACTTAAGTCGGATACTACTATAAATACCTCAAAATCACACTTCAATACAGAACTTGAAATCGTTTAAAAAGTAAAGAGTAAATGCTAAGTGATGTTTCTCCTGCCTCTCCAGGCTCAGTCTCAGCAGACGGAGGAAGACTCCAGCAGCAGCCGACTGATGCCGCGAGTCGACACCGACCAGGTGAGAGTGGTTCCATAGACCCCCCCCCGCAGTCACTACCCAGAAAGGAACTATTCTAACGTTGAACTTCTGACCTCTGCCTCTCCTGCAGGACTACCTGAAGATCTGCTGCCTCCACGCCAACATCCTGGACTTCTACCTGAACAACATCCTGCACCAGGGCGACAACATGCACCCCAAGATGCACCGGCTGAAGACCGACCTCCACCGCGTCAGCGAGGACCTGCAGACTCACGGCTGTGTGAGTGTCAGACGTGGACGGGGCGTTGGGCCGGCTAGCTTAGCTTAGCATGAAGATTGGTTGGATGGAGCGACGAATGAGAACATTGACTCCACAGGAATTCTGAATCCGCAGCTTACAGCTGGTTAGCTTAGCATGCATATTAAAAAAGCCTAGCTTTAAGTTAAGACGTTAGAATCAGCTGGTGTTAATCTGTGAGGATCCGATCTTTTGTGCTAGGTCATCATTCGTATTCACGCCACTGACAAAGCAAAAAACGCTAACCGCCGCTAACCTTCCCTTCCCGCCTGTCTCTGCAGAACGTCACTCACTACCACGAGCATCGTCACGCTGTGGAGTTCCGCAGGAAGTTAAAAGCGGTGAGATTTCAACACATCACGTATTTATTGTCTTATGTGCCACTGAACTAAATATACATATAATATGTGTAAACTATCATCCAATGTCGCTACATTTGGCTTTTATACTATTTGATGACATTTCATAGATCAAACCAATTGATTAAATGTGGAAACATGTATGAAAAGAGAGCATTGGTGCTCCGGTGGGTCTTTGCGTCTCTAACGGTTGTCTTTGTCTCTCAGATGGGGGGAGAGCGGGGGATGATCAAGGCGGTGGGGGAGGTGGACATCCTGTTCTCGTACCTGCAGGACTTCTGCATCCAGCAGAGGAACCACACCAAGTCCAACTGAGCCGCCACCTTTCCAACCACTTTTATACTCTAATTTATTATGGAGATATTTGAGAGCAGTTTTTGGATACTGTATTTAATTTGATTAGGTATTTATGTATTTATTGATCAGAGAGTGTTTTATGGCTCTGTATCTTGAAGGAGTTTCAGTATTTAAACATTACACTCAATAAACTGTTTGTTACGACATTGACCAAAAACAAATAAAGTTTGGTTTTGAATCTGAACGTTGGCTCGTCTCTCTGCTGCTGTGGAAGTACTAGTAGTATTATTAGTAATAGTGGTTGTAGTATAGTGGTATTAGTAGCAGTAGTTGTACTGGTAGTATTAGTTGTAGTATTATTACTATTATTGGCAATAGTAGTAGTAGTAGCAGGCGTAGTAGTAGAAGTACTGAAAGTAGTAATAGTAGTTTTTATTAGATCTTGATTTTAATATCATAACCGTGAATTTGTAGTGAAATTCAAACATAAAAAAATGTATATATACATATATATATATATAATATATATATATATATATATAAAATGTATATATATACATTTTTTAACATTTTTATATATATATATATTATATATATATAAAATGTATATATATATATATATATATATATACATTTTTTTACATTTTTTTTAATGTTCAATCTCAGTATATATATATACATATATATATATATATATATACACATATATTTATATATACTCTATCTACATATATACCAAAAGTATCTGAGGTACATTTTATGCAAAATGTTTCATTTAAGAGCTCTTGATCTTAAAGTCAATAAATACACATGGAGCAGTAAAAGGTTGTGTACTTGAATAAATGTATTTAGTTATTTTACAAAACAGCCAAAAACTATTTAGGTGGAGAACAAATCAATCCCAATGAGATTTATTGATCAAACAATCACAGTGGAATTCTCCTGATTTCATTGAAATGTATAGATTATATGTATTCATAAATTAAATCAAATTATATTTCAATTACATTCAAACTAAAGTGTTATAGAGGAATTGTGTGTTGGTAAAGAAAGAAATATGACATAGATGATGATTCCTATTATCTGTATAAGATCAGTTTTATCGGATTGAACACACACACACACACACACTCATACACACACACACACACACACACACACTCATACACACACACACACACACACACACACACACACACACACACTCATGTGCACTTTATATTAAACTGGTGCAGAAACCTGCAGCAACCTCAAGAATATGAGACCTACTTACCTACTTTCACTATTGTGGCATTTGCCTTAGCTCATTGTGAGTGTGTGTGTGTGAGAGTGTGTGTGAGAGTGTGTGTGTGAGTGTGTGTGTGTGTGTGTGTTTGGAGTAACACCCGTTACCCGTTTGGTGAACGAAGGACTTTAGCGTTGATGTTCTCAGTCATGTAAGGTCGCGTCTCCATATTAGTCGGTTTCTCCTCAGAAACATTTTCTCACCTGCAAAGAAATTAAATTATTTCAGGAAGCAGAACAAACATGTGAGAAGAACAGGAAGTGATGCTGATGCTGATTTAGATTAACACAAGTCTCTTTGGGGTCTAAAGTGGACTGTTTGATTTTCATTCATTCACCTCTACCCACCTGTCCGCCCCGCCCCTCATTAGGTCACATGACCTCCTCACCTGCATTTCATCCCCATCGTTGATACTAAAGTTTTACTTTGAACCTTGTTGGTTGTCGTCTGCATGACTGTAACGACACATGAAGGCATCTAAGATGCTTCTCTGTAGCTGCTGCAGACTCACGTCACCAACATGCCTCCATCACAACTAGCAATTATAGGAAAAGATGACTAATATGAATATAAAATAAATGTACGTATTTAGTTGTATGTGTAGGCTGTGAAATTGTGTACATGTTATACATAATTCCCTTTATTAAAGGTGTTTGAATTAAATTATTTTATCTTAATTTTACAGTCTTTGTTTGGCAGCCGCTGCTGCCAGTCATTTAACCGTTTTTTACGTTTTTTTATTTTACAGTGTAGGTGTCTTGCTCGAGAAGGACGACGGTCGGCAATGTTGCTCCTTTTTTATAACCGATTTATAACGTATCATTCTTGATTCTACTTTTATAAAAGACATTATGTTTGATGTAATGAAAAAAGTTTGCTAAATTGGGATCCAGAGTCAGTCTGAATGTAAAAATACACATTACTGTAATATAAAACTAACAAGATTTACCTTAAAATTACAAGTTTTCCATCGGGTTTATTTGTTTGCTCTCAAGCCACCAACCCAAAAGCAGACGTTCTACCTGAATGTTCCCCGCTCCGTTCCTGTGGACTTAAAGGAACAGTTCGCCTGAAAACAAATTATTTTCCACATAAAAATTAAAGTAAAATAACATTTTCTATTTTAAAAGTTTTCTATCCAACGAGCTCCAGAGAGGAGGAAGCAGAGAAGAGGAAGGAGACTTTGAACAAAAGACAACTGAAAAAACAATTTGAGGAAAGTCAAAGAAAAGTCCGGCGCAGAGCAGGAAGAGGACCAAACCCTGTGTGTGGATTTCCACGAGCCCTGCTGGAGGGAGGCGGTCCTACCTGTGTGACATCATCACTGGGGATTTCCCCGGGCAGGTGACTCCAGGAAGTGCAGCGAGTACAGCAAACTTCCCACCGTGTGCGTGCGTGTGATCAGGATCCACGTTTAGTCGAGTTCTTTGTGCTGCGCAGACAGCAGCAGGAAACAGGAGGCACCTGTAGAGCTGCACAAACACCTGAGGCCCTCAGAGAATCCGTGTTATTTACGCCTGCAGTTACTTCCTGGTTCAAAAGCTTCCGTCTGCTGGGACGTTTTGATCAGTGAGGCAACAGCTGATCCCTGTTTGTAACAACGCGTGTAACAATGTGTGTAACAATGTGTGTAACAATGTGTGTAACAATGTGTGTACATGAATGGCTTCAACCTGTCGAGATGATTATCTTCGTATTCACCTGCAGGCCGGAAACCGTTTATACTCCGCCACATCAAATGACACTCTCTGGGATTGTCCGTCTCACCTGTGGGCTGTTACAGGTGCTTTAAATCATCCTCACAGTAACGTCACGTCTCAGTACCTGTGAGGCAAGTAGGGAAAACACATTTCAATGTTTGACTTTCAATTCTGGCTCTGGAATGTTGGACCAACTGCAGCTCAAGGTCTATTTTTATCTCTAAAGGAGAAGAGTGATGTAATTGCTGCAGCTTGTTTGCTTCCACCTCATCCAACCAGAAATGTGTAGCTAGCATTGTTTTTGTTGTTGTCTGTGTTAGAAAGCAAAATCTGAATAAGCCGACAATTAAAATATATTCTCTTTAAATATACTGAACCTCTGAATGTAGAGTTTTAATGCAACTTAAAATGCATCATTTATGTAATCGTGTATTTTTTAATAACGTTCGTGCTATTTAGCAAACATTAGCATGCTAACATGCTACCTTGTTAAACTTTTACGTTTACGTGCAGTGAATAACAGATTCTTTCGTGGCCAGCCGTTAGCATGTTAGCATGTTAGCCCTCCGAAGCCTCGCGGCGTGGTCATTTACTTTGATCAGTCATCATTTATCTCGATCGAAGCGTTTATGGAATTTCACTGCACGTCAAACTCTGGTTGTCAGTCACATATTTCTGCTCGTCTCTGCGTCGACAATCTTCCTTCAGTCACGTGAGCGTTCGTCTCCTGACCGGGTCGACGAGGAGTAACAATACGTATTACATCATTTCATTTTTACCGTATATTCTTATAGTTATTGATGCAATACGTGTGTTATTCCAGTTGTTTAGATGTGTGTCTGTGCCGCTTGTGTGTAACGTTTACTGTTTCCACGCGTAACAGGTAATCGCACTTTAACTAACGTCACAGCTCAGGACTCTCTGGAGCCGCGTCAAATCAAAAACAACCTGCAGAGTCACTGCTTCCCGGCTCAGTCGACCAAAACCACAACCTACTTTCATCTGACCATCTGAAGGCTGCAGAATGAACCCAAGTCAGGAAAATCACATCGCACAGCTTACAAAATACCACGGACGCAAAAAACTATTATTCGTCATCGTTGTTTCTCAGAAGCTGTGAATGTCAGCGATGTCGGAAAAGCCAAAGATATTTAATTTAATATAACGAAGAGGTGGAAGCAGCAGAGAAGATGAAACCAGAGAATATTTAGTGATTTTTGTATTAAGTTTGAGGATTGCCAGAAGAATGAATCCAATCTTTTACTTTAAAAGTTTTGTAATTTTCTGTCATCATCAGAACATTAACAACAGAATAATCGTGGATGAGGTGATGCAGCGCGGCATGAGTGTTCTTTCATGGATTGTTTGGCATGTTTTTACAAAAGGGGTCAATTGGGGTCCCCTATCATATCATTAATTAAGTGTAGCAGGGCCTTTCATGCATTAAAGCTGCGTTCTGTGTAGTGACCAGCAGGGGCGACTCCTTCTGCTCCCATAGACGTCTATGAGGAAATGACTCTACTTCTCTGTAGTGACCAGCAGGGGGCGACTCCTCTGCTCCCATAGACGTCTATGAGGAAATGACTCTACTTCTCTGTAGTGACCAGCAGGGAGCGACTCCTCTGCTCCCATAGACGTCTATGAGGAAATGACTCTACTTCTCTGTAGTGACCAGCAGGGGGCGACTCCTCTGCTCTCATAGACGTCTATGAGGAAATGACTCTACTTCTCTGTAGTGACCAGCAGGGGGCGACTCCTCTGCTCCCATAGACGTCTATGAGGAAATGACTCTACTTCTCTGTAGTGACCAGCAGGGGGCGACTCCTCTGCTCCCATAGACGTCTATGAGGAAATGACTCTACTTCTCTGTAGTGACCAGCAGGGGGCGACTCCTCTGCTCCCATAGACGTCTATGAGGAAATGACTCTACTTCTCTGTAGTGACCAGCAGGGGGCGACTCCTCTGCTCCCATAGACGTCTATGAGGAAATGACTCTACTTCTCTGTAGTGACCAGCAGGGGGCGACTCCTCTG